CCCCTTCAGACCCTCGACCCAGCAGCACATCCGCTCCCACTCTTGCGCCTTCCGCCTTCAATGCGTTCTACACCGACATACGCTCGCACCTGTCAGTCGACCCGACTTGGTCCGCCGTTCAAGAACGTGTGCTCTTGGAGCCCTTCTCCTACCTGGCTTCCAATCCCGGCAAGGAGATACGCGGAAAACTCATCGATGCTTTCAATTGCTGGCTGAGACTGCCGGAGGAGAAGCTGGGGATAGTGAAGGATGTGGTGGGCAGGCTGCACACGGCCAGTCTTCTGTGAGTTTGCACGGGCAGTCGCAGCGCTCACCTGGCGCTCGACTCGCCGTGTAGATTGCGATCTGCATCTCGCAGGCTCATCAAGTCCATCACTCCCTCGCTGCGGCAGCATGGATGATGTGGAGGACAATTCGGACCTGAGAAGAGGAATCCCCGTAGCGCATAAAATCTACGGAGTACCTCAGACGATCAATACGGCCAATTACGTCTACTTTCAAGCTTTCAGTCTGATCTTCTCCATGGGCACACCTTCATCCTCGCGCGTCAGCGTGGAAAGGCTCGTCAATGATGAACTGATGAATCTGCATCGAGGACAAGGGTTGGACCTTTTTTGGCGAGACGCTTTGATCTGTCCAACAGAGGAGGAGTACGTAGATATGGTCAACAACAAGACTGGCGGTCTGCTTCGCATCGCTGCAAAGCTCATGATGGCTCATAGCAGCCTGTACGCGGACTCAGAGAGCGCAATCAACGCCGAGCAGAGCGCTCCTGATCTCTTGCCGCTCGTCAACCTCATCGGACTGCTCTTTCAGATCAGAGACGATTACATGAATTTGCAATCCGCCGCATACGCTTCCAACAAGGGTTTTGCGGAGGATCTGACAGAAGGGAAATTCAGCTTTCCCCTCATACATGGCATTCGCGCTTCTGCCTCTGGGTTGGACCAGTCGCAGGAGCAAACGAACGCCCCCTCTTCCACGCCTGCCCGTCTTCCAAGGCCAGGCATTTCCCCCGTAAACAGCGCATCGAACATTCGCAGAACGTCACCGCCGAGCAGACCCAGCACTTTGTCCAGTCCAGAATCGGTTCCTCCCAATCGACGTCTCTTGTCCATACTTGCTCAAAGACCGTCAGACGAGGCTACGAAGAGGTACGCCGTCAATTACCTCAAAGACGTCACTCGTTCCTTCCACTACACCATCGGCATCATGCATCACCTGGACGGAATCGTCGGTGAGGAGATCGACAAGGTGGAGGCGGTCCTTGGACAGAATCCGGCTTTGAGATCCATCTGCCTCGCCTTGCGAGCTGGTTGGTGGAGTGCAGATGGAGGAGACGAAAAGTGGGCGGCGTCGGGCGCGAGTTGAGAGAGGACAGCAGGCGGAAAGGCGAGGTGCTGTGTTTGCTGCTGCATTTGGCTTATCTAGGCATGCTCATCCAAACCTGTAAAACAGTCACAGAATGACGTCCCGAGCAAAGGCATCACTGTATGCAATTGATCAGCCTTCATGCCTGTGCTGGGGTCGCACACGTCGCCAATTGCAAACTCGTCGCCATGCGATCGCATTGAAGAATGGTTGCAAGCAGAAGAAAGGCGGGAGGAGGCGGTGACACAACGCTATCTGCGCTATCCACATGCGGAATGAAAATGTCTGGCGGCGTGGACAGGAAAAGACAAAAGGGCTCTGTTGTGTGGTCCTTCAATCGAGCGCGAAGTGGTCGGCAAAGTGTTGCAAGGTTGGCAGACCGCGTCTATGCAGAGCGATGGAAGGAAGTCGGCTGCGGTGGAGTTGGGCACATCGTAATCCATCAAGGTCAGTCTATGTGCAAATGCCCCCCTTGAGAATACTCGCTCACCAAATGATGACGGCATGCGCTGCAAAAGAGGCAGAATTTGCGCATTCAATTCCAAGATTATTTGCGGCTCTTGCAGAGACTGAGCGCGTGCTGAAAGACTCACTGTTTGTCACGCCATCAATGTAGATGCGATGTTTACGCAGAAGGGGAAGCACTTTGGGATCGTTGAGCGTCTTGCACATCCTCAGCTGGGCAGCAGACAGGGCGGGAGACTTGCGGTTGCCTTCTGGTAAAGCCACCTGGAATGTTGAAGGGTGAGCGTCGAGCTCGTAACGCTTCGCAGCCTCGCCCCGAAGCTGCTTTGATTGTTTGATCGTGCCGTTTGAGTTTGCTCGTGCGAGGAAATGCGTGCTTGTCGTTGCAGAAGAGTCCGCCGCGTCTTCACCGACATTTTCCTCCACCGCTTCCCTGACTTTTCTCCTCACCAACAACTCCGCCCAGCTCTTCTGCGGATCCTCGTCCGGTTCTTTGCCCTCCCTCCATCTCTCCTGCATCCTCTTGACTCGTTTAGAGCTCCTTCTGCTCTCTCGAGCAAATCTGAAAAGCACCAAGCAAAGAAAAGTGGGAAAAAGGACCGGAAGGAAGATGAAGATGACGTAGTTGAGAGGTCGAGGCATCGGATACCTGTTGGGGTTGAGGAAGATTGGAAACGTCTTGGGAAAAAGCCGCAGGTACCAAGGCCTGCTCTTCCTTTTGCCGTCAGCGGGAGGCTTGATGCCAGTGATGAGGACCGGGTACTGCGCATCGAGTGAGCTGACGCATACGAGGTCGATGCTCAGAGTAAGCGAGATGCACTGCTGAGTAGTAAACTCTCCTTATCGTACTCACACCTCGCACTCGCCGTTCCACTCATCGAGCACATCCCAGGGCTCGATCAAGCCAGACCGGCTCGGCACAGTCATATCATTGACAGCGTTTGCGTAAAAGTCGATCTTGCGGAACTTCTGCAAGCCTCGAATGAATGCGCTGCTGGGGTCGCTGAGCGCTTCAATCACCCCTCTTGCTTGTGCGTTGCTGGAATGCTTGACAAGCGGAGTCGCGATTGCGTCCTCTTCCCAGCCGGAATCCAGATTGTACTAGTCGAAGCATCGAAACGCGGAGCAGGCTGCGTTTAGACGACATTCAAGGCCAAGCACAGGGAGGTAGCTCAGAGCCACGGCAGTCATTATCGACTCACTAGCTGCCGACCAGTACGTCCCAACAACCTACCGCCAATGTAGTTGGCCAGCCTACCAAAGGAGGATGCGGCAGGAGGGATACCTAGATGCGGCGTGGCAAAAGTGGCAAAGTTGACGGCTCCTACCGCTTTCGGCCCGGTGAAGAAACCGGAAGCTTCCAATTGGCCGACGACGAAGCGCGCGGTGAGGCCCCCGAGAGAGTAGCCGAGCTAATGTGGCCAAGTGTAAAGGTCGTAGCAAGGGTCAACTTGGATGTTTGAGCAATCCCTCGCGCAAGTCTGCCATGACTCACGATGCTGATCAGCCTGACCTCTGAGCCAATCGATTCAAGACGCTTGATCTCGCGTTTGATCTTGATCAGGGATGGCAAATGGAGCGAGTATGGATCAGCGCAGCGAACATCCGCCTACGTCCTTGGCGGCGAACCAGTAGCCCATCAAGAGTTTCAACAGCTACAAACTTCTCCTACGATGCACGCATCCAGCTGTTCGCTCGCCAATGACCACACCAACACGCACCTCGGTGATGACGCGTTCCGCAATCCAATCGATTCCATCATATGTCCCCGCACCTTCGCTCGTCGCCGTGTTCAGAATGACCATCGCAGGTCTCTGGCCACCCGCTTGCTGAGCCAGAGCTTGCGATTCAGCGATCGCACCTTCTAACCACCTTCTACCGCTCGTGACCGATGCCGTATCGTTTGCCTCTGTGGAAGTGGTCGTTGCAGAGGCGGATCTGGACAGCGCCGGAGAAGGATGACCGGATGTCGGCTTTTTGCTGCCTTCTTTGGCATCGGCGGCTTGAGCGTCCGCCTCTCGAGGTGAGAATTCGCCAGCATGCCTTGCTTTGAGTAGTTTGAGTAGAGAGTTCAAGTTTGCTGGAGCTCCCCAAAGTCCGTGAATGGCTACGACCAGGTGAATCTTCTTGTTTGCTCGCTCGCCCTCCACTCGAGGCACGGATGCTCCAGCGGCGTCCGGATCGGCGGAAGTCGATGCTTCGGAGGAAGATGAAGGCATTTTGATCTCGTCGAGTATGGACGGCACTGCCGATCGACCAGCTGAATGGAAAGGCTGAGCATTCGCCTGAGCGAGGAGAGGAAGCAGAGATCAAACGTGAATGAGCACGTCGATTTGCAATCGCGTTCGGCAGCTGCTCAATCGTGAAAGCGTAGCGTGGTGCGTGCGCTTCATGCAGCTGACGTACGCAACACCGGCAAGCCCCTGCCGCCTGCCCGTATGCAGGAAGATCTGGGTGGGCAGAATGCCTTTGATAGCTACGAAGCACGACGAACAGCAGAATCCTCGCCCAGGAACATCGCTACTGATTCGTGATTGGGGTTGCCCTGCTCTTCATCATCACCTCTTCAGCTGGGAGCATCATGTCGCACGCGATCAGTCTGGAGAGTGCACGCCGTACACAGCATCAGATGGCACGCTCTAAAGACGATGAAGATACATGCATTAGTCATCCAGCACCTTCAAACCTCCATGAACAGCTGGCGAGCCGGCGCAGCATCATCTATCATCGAGCCCTCTGCTTCAGTCTTTTTTCCTTCAGCCGATTCCTGCGCGACTCGCAGCGGTAGCTCGTCGCTTCCATCCCTAAATAGACTTGTAGTCCACTTTGGATACACGCGTTTGTACAAATTGAGCAGAATCGTGTCTGTGACATGGGAAAACGAAGCGGACAGTGTCAGCTTGCAGAAGCCACGCAGTGCTGAGACAGCAGAGATGCCACTCACCCATCTGATTGATGGGACCAGAAAAGTGAGCTTTAAAAAGACCGTGTGTGCCCAGACTTTCGGTGATATGACCTGTCTTTCCGTATTTGGTGTGAAGCTCGAGCGGTTTGAAGTAGTGAACGTCGTCTGCGAGATGAAGCAAGTCTGTCAGGTGTTTGCAACAAGCCCCTTCAGAGATCACATGTACCCACTGGCGTTGAAGAACATCCACTTGATGACGCTGCTCTTTCTGTGTACTTTGTAGGGTGAGCCTGTGAGGCAAATGCGCTTCGTGTTGATTCTGGTAGGTCCAGCATCCAACAGATTTCCACTGCCTACGAGCCAAGGCATCTGTCGAGCGCCCACGCCTCTCTGATCGTGCCCGAAAGTGCCATCCTCAGACCTTTCCCTCAGCAAAATCGCAGGTACGTTGGCACTGCCGAACGTGATGGGTCCGAAGACGGTGCCTACGGACGTGGCCCCAGGACCTGAACGCAAGAATCTCTCAAACTTGTGCACATTGTTGGAGCCCCGTTGACCATTGTTTGCGGGATTATGCTGGCTAAAGATGGGCTGCACTCGCATCCTCCGCGGTCCAAGACACAGGACGAGTGGATCCTGCAGGCGCGAGCGAGAGACAGAGTCAGCCTGCAGTCCATGTGACGCTCATCGCCTCGCAGTCGCTTACTTACTTTGGACTTGACCGGCTCTTCATACTCTGTGTTTCGCGACACCGTAAAGTTGAGCACGCTTGTCTTGTGCTCATGTCTAAGTAGACCAAAAAGCACCATGGCCGACTGATCTTCTCCGCAGCTCAGCATTCCATCAACGACTGCTCCTGCTCGAATGGCTGCTTGCAGCGGAACGTTCTCAATGACCACTCGAACTCTATGTCCCATAGCAACGCCCTCCTCCAGCGCCTCGCCTTCCACTCTTCTCCTCGTCTTTCTAAAAGAGTCGAATTGGAAGATTCTGGCATATTCGGATGGCAGATCCTCATACGGATCCCACTCTGACGTTCTCATCGATTTGAGCCCTCTATATCTGGCAAAACGCTGCCTTGCAGGGATGTGGACAGGAGTGTCAACTTCGTCTGGAAACTCCAAGTCCTCATCCTCTGCCTTTCGTCGCTCCCTTTCAGCTGCTCTTGCTGCTTGATAAGCTTCAAATGAAGCCATGTCAATGTCGTCCATGTCGGATGTGACTTCCTCGTCCGACACTCCATCGAAGTCAGCGCTGGGATCAGCAGGCTCAGCACCTCCTCGGTTTGCTGCGACATCGTTCATCGCTTCATCGAGACTGCCTTCCTCGTCGTCGTCTTCCTCATCATCATCATCGTCGTCGTCATCGTCCATGATCCAAGCAGCCTGGAACCGTTTCCGCTCTCGCTCTTCCTTGCTGCGTGGAGTACCCTTGCCTGGAACGGCAGACTTTATGATCGCCTTTGGAGTAGTTCCTGGAAGAGCATCGGGCACCTCAGCGAATCTAACACTCGGTGTAGCACTCTGCTCCAGATCGGCAGACGACACCGCATGCTGCATCTCCTCGGCAGTGGGCCAAGTCTGCTCGTTTTCCATGTCGTCTGGTTCGTTCTCTGAAATGAGCTCGTCCGCATAGCCTTCTTCCCTGTCGTCGAGCACCTCTGTCTCTTCTTTTGCCTCTGCAGCATCCGTCATCTCCACATCGCCGCCTTTGCGGGCCTTGGGAGCGTGCTTGTGCGTTGCATTGACATGAGGAGCACTCTCGATCCTTCGAATCACAAAGTCGCCAAAGTCTGGCAAGTGCACCAGCCTCTGCGCCGAAAGTGGCGCACCCCTGACCCACGTCTCCACACTGAGATTTCCCCGCTGCTCTTCCGATTCAAGCGACGCCTCAGAAGTCGATGCTATCCAGGATGCCTGCTCGACGATACCCCAGCTCCTTGCTTCTCTCCACGCTGCCCTTCGTGGTGTAGAAGTGGCCAAGGTCCTGATGAGCGAAGATCTGTCCGACTTCTCGTCCAGGGCGTGAATCTTGTCCAAACCAGGCGCAAAGTACCTCGCGAAGCTGAGCAAGCTGCTCCTTGCAGCCTGAACGGCTCTCATCCTAGGCCCAGCTTTGAGCGCGGATACCTCGTCGGATGTGAGCGTCGGCACAGCCGCCAGAACGGAGGGCAGGCCTTGCGCTTGCATGATGCGAAGAGCCAGCTCGCCCCATGAACCTGGATCGATGGAGGTGCTGGGTGATAGCACAAAGATGACAAAATCTGCGCATTGCGCCAAGTCCAGCAAGGGATAGAGAGCTCCGTAAGCAGGAGCGTGCAGTTGAAGCTTCGTCCGAAACCGAGGCACGCTGCGCGTGTGCGAGGGGAAGGTGTGAGATGGAAAGCGTCAGATGAGAGTCGGAGAGGTTCGAGGGTGCGAGCATGCGCTTGCGCACTGGTCCACTCACTCGTACTCGACCATTCGTCGCTGAGCGCTGTGCGCGCTTTCTCCGATGGCTTTCAGGTCGTCTTCCTCCCCCGCAACAGCTTCAAGCTGCTTGATGCACTGCCAAGCATCCACATCGTGACTCAAGCTAGCGAAGACCACAGTCCTTGGAGCGCCTTTTGGTCCGCTGAACATTCTCTTTGCTTCGATCAGAGCCCGCCTCTTGTTATCCGCCACATCCTTTGCTCTCCTCTTTCTCACATCCTTTGCATGTTGACCGGGCCTAGCGCCACCACTGCCAGTAGTAGTAGAGAAGGGCGATTGCTTCACAGGACGCGTGGTGGTGCCAGTCCCGGCTTCTGATCCCGTTCTGCCCTTCGCGCGTGCTTTGAGCTCTCCTTTGGATGCATGTCGTCGTCCGAACGCCTTGTGCTTCTGCTTCAGCACGGATCGATGATGGTGTCCCTGCTGTGGAGGTGCCATGATGGCGAATGAGGGGTGCTCTGTGGGGCGTGGCACTGGTCGTCGCAACCCCCTCTGTGACCTCTGAAGGGCTGAAAGAATGATTGCCTGGTGCGACGGTCCTAGCTCTCGAGGTGCAGACACGAGTCAAGCAGGAGGAAGGAGCTTGACAAGCCCACCGCGTGCCCAGCTTTCGCCTTGTTCAAGTTTTGCGAAACTCAAAATTCTTGATTTTGAAAGGGGTCACGTGCTCCATTCAGTTCTCGGCCGATAGCTGCTGCGAGAGGTGAGGTGAGTACCAAAAAGGCGCTAATTTTAGCGTGCCCACCAGCAGCGATGCTGATGATGATGCTGCAGTCACAGTCTGAGTATGCTGCATCGATCCGCGATCACCGCGTAAGAGCACGCGCTGCGTTTCCCGCCGCGCGCCGAGGATGCCCGCATTTGTTCGCGTATAGGGACCGGTACACACGCACGGGCTCCGTTTGGAGGGATGAGCGTGTGAGGGTGTGAGTGCGCCTGCAAGTGAATTCGGGGCCATCATGTCTATCTGCATCCGATCCTTGCAGCATGAACATAGCACACATGGCCACTCACTCAGCCAATCTTTCAGCATTGTGATTCTTGCTGAGACGCTGATCGCTGATCCATCCACCTTCCTTCACCAGCGCATACACCCACTTCTTCGCTTCCAACCCGCTCCCACCCACCTCGAGCTCAGCAAGCGCAACACACGAGACGAGATAGACTGTCACGCTGCTGACTCTTGACCTTCCGCAACTCGAGCTTCACCCAGCGTCTGTAAGCCTACGCGAGCGTTCCAGCTTGCTTCTCGTGCACGATGATGGCATCCGGAGCTAGCTTCACCAGCGTCACTCCGAGCGGCACAGGCGCTCCCACACCTGCCTCCTCAAACGCCGGCGGTACCGCTACCCGCAAATTGAGCGGCCGATATGCGCTGAACGATTTCTCCATCGAGAGGACTTTGGGAACGGGATCGTTCGGAAGAGTGCATCTTGTCAGATCCAGGCATAATTTGAGGTTCTACGCTGTCAAGGTGAGTCTCAAAGGCGAGCGAACCGGAAGGAAGCGATAGCGTGCGACCAGCCCGAATAGCAGGCATCTCAGATGGACTTCAATGTAGAGCCTCTCAGGAACAGCGCTATTGAGAGACAATGGAAGGGACGAAGCTGTGCTTGCTCGGGACCAGCAGAGCTGACATTATCCAGCGAACTTCTTGCGTCTGCCTGGCCCCTCTTGTCATCCTTGTGATAGGTGCTGCGGAAGGAGCAAGTGGTCCGCATGAAGCAAGTGGAGCACACAAACAGCGAGCGAGCAGTGTTGGAAGTGGTACGACATCCCTTTCTAGTCAATCTGTGGGGCACGTTTGCGGACCCTACCTTCCTCTACATGGTCATGGATTTCGTTCCCGGCGGAGAGCTCTTCACGCTCCTGAGAAAATCACAACGGTTCCCCCATCCAGTGGCCAAATTCTACGCTGCAGAGGTCGCTCTGGCCATCGACTATTTGCATCAAAATGGTTTCGTGTATAGAGACTTGAAACCGGAAAACATTCTGCTGAGCGCTGATGGCCACTTGAAGATTACCGACTTCGGATTCGCGAAGTATGTTCCAGATGTCACTTGGACCTTGTGCGGTGAGTCACAGGGAGGGGTAGCTTGGGCTCTTTTGGTCGCTGCGAGATGTACAGGATCCGTCGTGCTGATGATCCTGCATCTCAAATTTCCCGCTCTGATGGACCATCGAGCAGGCACTCCGGACTACCTCGCACCGGAGATTGTGTCTTCCAAGGGTTACAACAAGTCGGTCGACTGGTGGGCACTTGGTGTGCTGCTGTTCGAAATGCTCGTAAGTGATTCTCATCCGCAAGCGGTAGGCTTGCTTGTCTCAGGTATCCGATGAGCTGACTGGAGTTCCGATGGCTCTCTTTGCGTCCTGTATCTTTCCAGGCTGGGTCAGTCGCATTCTGATTTGCAGCTTTTCGCTTTCGCTGCATCCATGCTGACCCTCGGAACCCCGAAACCGTCCTTCTTTCTCCTTCAAAGTCACCCGCCATTCTTCACCGAGGATGGAAATCCGATCAAGCTTTACGAGAAGATCATCGCATGTAAAGTGCGGTACCCGCCGTACTTTGAAGCAGCAGCAAAGTGAGTGTGCAATGGCGAGTCTTGGTCGTTTGCGCGCTACCACATTGAGCATTGCCCCCTCGTCTCGCTCACAGAGATCTCCTGAAGAATCTCCTGACTGCGGACCTCACAAAGAGATTTGGCAACTTGCATCGAGGCGCGCAGGACATTTTCGGGCACATGTGGTTTGACGAGGTCGATTGGGACAGGCTTTATAGAAGAGAGATACCCGCTCCTTACTTGCCTACCGTCACGGCCGACGGAGACGCTTCGCAATTCGAAAGGTGAGTGACAATTTGGATCTCTTGTCGCGCTCATGATGCATTCTCAAATATCCACCCATGACACCGGCCCATGTCAGATATCCCGAAAACGATTTGGCAGAATATCAAATGCACGAGGCGCCAGATGTCTTTGGTCACTTGTTCCCCGAGTTCTGAGGCTTGGACAGACTCCTGCACAGCCCACTCATGCTACACCGAAGAAATTTGTCCTTCGGTTGCCCCTTCTTGACATGCTCTTGTTATATCATCGCATCACCGCATTTTGAACGGTCCGTATCATCTCGTGAGCTACTGTCTTACCAAGGTCGACCAGGGCGCACCTCGACGATAGACATTCAGACTAGATTCGAGCTCAAGCTTTAGGGTGGATAGCTGTGTATTTGGTGAGGTGGTTTTGTGCTGGAGAGTGCGATGGCATGCAATCTGTGCGACACGACGAGCCAGATGAGACTACTTGGGCCGACACTTGCGTTGGACGACTTCTTGTAAAGCAAAAGGTCGACGAGGTGATATGCGCCGAGTCCGCGCCGTAGGCTTCCTCGTGCGCATGAAACTTGTTCAGGAGGTGTGCATAAGACGAAGCATAACACTACAGAACATATCGAGTTCCCGATTGAGGATATTATAGGTGCCAGTCACTGCAGCGCTTTCAGATCCTTTCTCAGCTCCGCCTCGCCAGCGATCTTGGACAATTGCATCTCCTCCAAGGTCTCACCCTTGGCTTTGCGATCTTTGAGATCTTGGATAGCTTTGAGCTTCTTGTTGATGTTGCGGACCTTCTTCTCGATTGCTGCTGCGCCTTCCGCGTCTCCTCCAATATCGGTAGCTCCCGAGGTGGCAGGTGCTGAGGGTTCGCTGCTCGCGTTGAACGATGCCGCAGTGTTGGGCGTGGAAGGCGCACTGGCTTTGCCGTTTTTGCCCGCTTTCTTTCCGCCGGGACTCTTTGCGGGTCCGGTCGGCACCGAACCGGGTGGATGGGCAGCTCCCGGAATCGAGCGCTTGCCTCTTGCGCCAGCGCCAGGAGGCACGTAGGCGCCGTTCTTCGCTGGCGAAGAGGGTGCAGAAGCATTTGCGCTCTCTTGGTACAGCCGTGCAAACTCGCTGCTCGCGCCACCACTGCGAGCACCTGGCGGTCTGTATGCACCACCAGAAGGCTTGCCGTTCGCCTCCGTCGCAGATGCAGCCTTCGCCGCGGCTTTGGCAGCCTGAGCATCCAGCAAAGCCATGGCGGCTTGTGATGCTGTGGGCGCGGGTTGAACCGCTTTGGAGAAGGGATGGTCTGCCAAGCAGTCTGAAGGCAGCTTCGGCCGCCATGTCGCTTGATACATTTCATCCTGCATCTCCACGTGCACAAGCTTGCCCGTGTAATGCCAGATTCGTATCCCGTTCTCCACTCGTAGGCGCGGACTCAACGTTGCAGTGAGCACAAATTGGCCGTCTGGACTCCACTGGCACACGCTGCTGTTGCTGGCATCGAAGGAGTGGAGCTTTGCCCGAGCACTGGCTTCTGCGCTGCTGCCAGCTGCGCCACCAAGAAGTTCGCGATCCCAAACATCTACTGTCCCGTTTAGGTTTCCGAAACCGGCGATCAGCAGCAGCCGGCCTTGAGGATTGAAAGCTGCAAAGTTTCGCCCGGCCACGCCGAGCTCTGCGATGACCTTGACTTGCGAAGAGAACAGCGTCGCCTTGGCTGGCATGTACCCATAGATGACTGCAAATTCCCGGCAATTGGGGTTCCATTCAAAGTCGTGTACTGGCCCTTCCTTGTCGAGACCCACTCGACAATCGAAATCACCTCTAGTGGACATCATGTACAGGTTCGTCTCGCCGTAGTAGGATTTGCCAGTCTTGTCGTGTTCGGTAGAAGTGAGGAAGAGAATGGCCGTACCAGCCGTATTCCATTTGATTTGAATCTTGTCTGCTTTGAAGAAGGTCTTCTGAGAAATCGGTTTGGGCGGCGCTGCTGGTGAAGGGATGAGCGATGCGAGCGGGTACACTTGCACAGATGCTGGCGCGCCTTTCTTTTCCCCAAGAAATACAGCGACACTGGGTCTTTCCCCAGGCCCAACTTCGTACGAGGTGATACCTTCCAGCTTCAATCGACCCACCACGTGTCCATTCATGTCGGCGGTGGAGAAGACTTGCAGCTCGGTAGCGACTTGGCGAATGGCGTGTTGCTCATCATTGGTGAACTGAAAGTGACTTCGCACGACGACGCAGCACAGGAGGAGCTGTCAGGATATAACGCAAGCGTGTATGCGCTCTCGAGAGAATTGCATCCACTCACCAGCCTTCTTGATTCCTCCTTTCAAAGCTCGCTATCCTCTCGCCCGACTGAGTGTTCCAAATGCTATGGTTCTTGATGGGATTGCCGTCCGCATCCTTGTTCGGACGTTCCCACGTACTCAAGTACCGACCTCGAGGAGAGAAGCGCATGTCGATCACCTTGGCGGCCGCCAAGATGAATGAAGGTGTTGGAACCACCTCGGGTGCGGACGACGCCCCGGTGGAAACAAGCCGAACGCTGTCATCGTAGCTCGCGGCAAAGATACTCCCATCTGGACTGTATACGATAGTGCGCGCTGTCGCTTCGAGATCTGGCAGGGAATGACTCGCAAAGCTGGGCGCGCCGGCTCCGAGACCGACGCGCTTCTGAGTGCGGTAGCCCCATTGTTGGGGAGCGAAAGAGGTGGTGGCCATGCTCGACCCCAAGACCTTTGCTATCAAAAGAGTCACAAGGAATAGGGTGCTTCGAAATATCAAAATGAAGGGTTCCCCTCCTGCTTTCCCGCTGGCCTGAGTCGTGAAAGTGTGTCGCTTGCAAGTGCGCTGGTCGTCGGGGTCAATGCGAGTCGCGAATGCGCAGCTTCGAATAAGTTGGAAGGCGCCTTCTTCCTGCCCACCCCTTCAACAACCGCCATCCCTGCATGCTCGGCGTGATGAGCCTAGTCATGAGGTCACCTGACTGGCAAGCCCGGCGGAATCTCCCCACGTGGCAGTCCGCCGATTCAAATCTGACTTGGACACCCTGACCACGTGACTTGTAATTAAACTCAGCGGCAAATTCCCGACCACAAACGCGGCTGTTGTCAATCAAAATCTTTGGATCTTGAATGCTTGATGATGAATCAGATTTCATCCACTGAGAAGGCTGCTTGGCAGACATCTCTTGGCGCACCTTCCTGCCGGAATTTGTGTAGAGAGATGCGGGCAACCCTCGCTTCAACCTACTTTCAAATTTGTAATCATCATAAAGGTATCCGAGTTACCCTTCAAGACCTCTGCAGCTTTTCGTTTGAAGCTTCGTGCATAAGATTCGAGGTCGCGATCTGGACTCAAGACTTCGAGACCCCGAT